AGGAGCATCGACCACTTCACTACCCGGGTTGTGCCGGGCGCCCTCAGAGCAGCACCTAGGGGTTGGTCCGACAGGATTCTGATCGGGTGCGTTTGAAAGTAGTGTGTCAACTTCTTGGCGGTGATGTAGGCGGCATATATTGTCTTCTCGAGCGGGGTGTACCGGAGCTCAGCATTCTGGAGGGTCTTGCTCACATAGTAGACGGGACGCTGAACGCCTTCCTCCTCGCGAACCAGCACGAAACTGATAAAGGATTAACGTCTCCCCCCTCTCCGGCTTGCTGAGTAAAGGCTCAGAGAGGAGGTACTTCTTCAGGTCGTCGAAGGCTCGCTGACACTCATCATTCCAGACGAAACCATTTTGTTTCTTTAGGACCTGGAAGAAGGGTAGGGACTTCTCGGCGGACTTGGACATGAAGCGTCCGAGGGCTGCTAGCCGGCCGGTGAGAATCTGGACTTCTTTCACTGACCTCGGGGGTTCCATGTCAAGTATTGCCCTTACCTTCTCAGGATTTGGCTCAATCCCCCTCCGTGTGACCATGTACCCCAGGAACTTGCCTCCTTGGACGGCAAAGGTACATTTCTTCGGATTCAGACGCAGACGGACTGCCTTCATGATCCCGAAGATCTCTGCCAAATCATCTGCATGATCGGACGCCCGGGTGCTCTTGACAATCATGTCGTCAACATACGCCTCCATGTTCCTTCCGAGCACCTTCCGGAATACCTTGGCCACCATCCTTGTGTACGTCGCCCCAGAGTTCTTCAGCCCGAAGGCCATGACAAGATAACAAAAAATCCCCTCTGGGGTGACGAACGAGGTCTTCTCCGCATCTTCTTCGTGCATGAAAATCTGATGGTATCCTCGAAAAGCGTCCATGAAGCTAAGGAGCTCACATCCGGCCGTCCCATCGACTAGTTGGTCGATGTTAGGCAATGGGAATGGATCCATCGGACATGCCTTGTTGAGATCGGTGTAATCAACACACATCCTCCAGGTTGGCGGCTTCGGGGCCAGGACCACGTTTGCCAGCCAAACCGGGTACAAGACCTCCTGGATATGCTTGATACTCAGGAGCATGTTGACCTCCTTCTTCACGAATTCCCTCCTCTCGGTTGAGAGGTGTCTTCTTTTCTGCTGGATGGGCTTCGCCGTTGGATTGACCGCCAGCCGATGGACAGCGATGCTTCGGTCAAGTCCAGGCATGTCCTCCGGTCCCCACGCGAAGACAACGCTAAAAAGGACAAGTACCTGGATAATCTTCTCCCTAAAGCCGACCGGGAGCCCGATCCCGATCTTGACCTTCCGCTCCGGCCTCTCAGGGTCAATCTGGATCTCCTCCACGTCTGAGGTGGGTTCAGCGCAGAGCTGACCCTCCTCATACTTCATGGCTTTGTTGTTGATAGTGTGGATCCTCAAGTCTTTTTGACCGATTTGTTTGCAAGCTTTCAGATAGCAGCTCCTCGCCATTCGCTGATCTCCCCTGGCGACTCCGACGCCATTCGGAGTGGGAAACTTCATGCATAGGTGCTCCTGGGATATCACACATCTGAGGTCTTCCAGGGCCGGCCTTCCCATGATGATCTTATGCGCACAAGTTAGGCGTACGACGATAAACTCGACGTCTAACTTGGATACGCAGGGCTCGGAGCCCACCATCACAGGGAGGACTATGCTGCCCTCCGACTCAATGGAGTCCCCAGTGAAGCCTGAGAGTGGGGTTCTCACCGGGATCAAGTCTTTTCGGTCCAGCCCGAGACCTTGGAAGGTGTCATAGTACATGATGTTAACGGAGCTCCCATTGTCCACCAGGACTCGGTGGACGATCGTGTTGTTGATTTCGACCTTGATGACCAAAGCATCCCTGTGCGGCGGAGGCATCGGTGGCAAATCTGCGTCGGTGAAGAAGATGGGGTCCCTCTTCACCCTCTTGTCGGCGGAAGCCCTGGTTATCTCCCCGACGTATAGGGCTCGGGCCCACTGCTTCCACTCTCCAGAGGTGTCGCCTCCCTGGGGTCCCCCGAATATGAACGAACATCGATGGTACTTCCGGGGGCCGTTCCCTAGGTCGACATCGTCTTCCTCGGAGAAGGCGCCGAGCTCCCGCTTCTTGGCAGGGGGTGTCTCCTTTGACGTGGTAGCTTGGTCGGACCGCTGCCACGTCAGGCTCCTCTTCTGCGGGATGCCTCCTTGTTTGCCAACGAATTGGCCCAGGTACCCTTTCTGGATGAGTTCTTCAATTTGCCGCCGGAGAATGACGCAATCATTTGTATCATGCCCTGCTCTCCGATGGAATCGACAATATTGGTCGTGGTTGCGCTTGGCAGTCACCACATCACACTCCTCAGGAAAGTCGACTAAACCTTGCTCCTCCGCGTAGTCGAGGATGGCCCCGACCGGCTGAGCAAGTGGAGTCAATTGCTTGACGGGCTGTAGCGGTCCGCTCGGGACGTCCGCCTTGCCCTTGCCCCTACTTTTGTTACCTTTGTATTTGTTGTTTTTGTTGCTAGCTTTGCCGTCAGCTTTCTCAGCACCCGAACCGGCTTCCTTCTTCTTTTCTTCTTTTGCACCTTCTTCCTCATCTCTTTTCCTCTGCAAGGCGTCCTCCGCCTCGGCTTGCCGGTCGGCACGGCCGAGCGCCTCCTCGTACGAGGTAGGGGGACTTCTAACGAAATCTTTGTAAAGCTCGCCCGATCGGATAGAGTTTGTGAGCATGGCCACCCCGGTCCTGTCATCAAGGCCCTGAACCTTTACTGACTCGGCCCTCCACCTCGCTAGGAAGGTCGACAATGGTTCCTTCTTCCCCTGTTTTAGGCCGAACAGGTGGCTGAAGTTTTTCTTGACGTCTCGGGAGCTCGCGAACCTCAAGAGAAAGCGCTGAGCCAACTCACGGAAATTCGTGATACTCCCGTCGGGTAGAGAGTCATACCATTCACGAGCCGGGCCATCCAAAGTGGCGGAGAAACCGCGGCATTGGATTGCGTCCTCGTACCCCATCATGACCATGTAGGAAAGGTACCGATATACATGATGCTGGGGGTCCGAAGCGCCCTTGTATGCTTCAATGGCGCATGGCTTGTAGCCCCTCGACAACGGCGCATCCATGACCGCCGGGGTGAAGGGTTCGGGTATCTGGAGGTCGGCCGTGTAAGGCTCCCCCCCGACAACCCTCCTTCTCAACTCGTCAAGGCGCTGTCGTAGATCTTCCACCTCGGCCGGCGGTGGGTTCCCCCGGACAGCTCCAGCGCGGGGCTGGGCATGTCCGGCGGCACCTCCAAGCCGTCCGTGCACGTGAGGTCGGGGCCCCACGTTTTGCCTCTCCGTGGAGCCAGTCCGACTGCTCGCCCGGTGAGAGTGGCGAGAGGGCTCGCCTCCTTCCATCTGCGTTGGGCGCCCCTGCTGGGCGCCCCTCCCCGTCTGCCGATGGGGTCGGCTAGGCTGCTGAGAGACTTCTTCCCCCCGCCGATGGGAGACTTCTTCCCCCTGTTTTGGTTGGATCCAGAGCGTCGCTCATCACGCCGCCTGGAGGACACCTCCACATCCGCTGGCGTCTGTTGACAGGCGGGCTCATCCACATTTCCGCCAGACACCATCTGTTGGAAATTTTGAGCCAAGGTCCCCAGAACCCGAGTTGCCTCCTGCAGGGCATCCACCCCGGCATTGAGTCGAGCCGGGTCCATGCGCGGAGCAGGACGTCGGCCTCCCCCCCCCCCCCCCCCCGGCTGCGGACCGAGCGCTCACCTTGAGTGTGGTTGAGCGTCGCCCTTAGGTCGCCGTGGCCTGACAATTGGTTCCGAAGGTCGCCTTGGCGCGCCGCCCTCCTGCCCTGTGCATGGTTGTCGAGGGCACGCTGGCGGCCAGACCGGGCGGACTCCTCGGTGTGGACTGAGACATGGTCACGTCGAGACGAGATTCCGGCCATCTTCCTGTGTGATTCCTACTCAAGTGATGTGAGAGACAATAGAGGCTCTCAATGAAAGCACCAATGTTGGTCCAAAATAGGACGCTCGTAGGCTTTTAGGAAAGCTACGTACGACACTCAAGCAGGAATTAGGAAAGTACGAATATGGAAAGTTAGCCAGAAATAGCATATATCTGTATTTGAAATTCGAATTGCCTTTTATAGGCGATTACAAATGGTAACTGCCGAACATAATAATGACTAAATTAATTACAACATTAATACGGAATTAAACACATAATTAAGTAGCGCATTGATTGTTGGCCGTTACTCTTCCTGGCTGGCAGGTCAGCCTGGCTGGCAGGCTGGACGCTTGAGCTCCCTCCTGCTGGACTGGACGGTGGGCTTCCCACTAGGCTGGAGGCAGGCTCCCGGGTAGGCTGGAAGGCAGGCTCCCGGGTAGGCTGGAAGGCAGGCTCCCGGGTAGGCTGGAAGGCAGGCTCCCCGATGGGCTGGAGGCAGGCTCCCACCTGGGCTGGACCGCGGGCTCCCAGTTGGGCTGGATCGCAGGCTCCCAGCGGGCTGGTGGTCGGTAGACTCCCGGCTAGGCTGGAAGGCAGGCTCCCCACTGGACTGGAAGGCAGGCTCCCCACTGGGCTGGAAGGCAAGCTCCCCGCTGGGCTGGTCGACAGGCTATCTTGGGCTTCCGCTCCTTGATTGCCCTGATTGATTGGGCCGACCCGAGCTCTAGGTTGCTGGGCTTGGGCCCGCTAGTCCAAGTTCGGGGCCTGGGCCGATTAGACTCTGGGCCTGGTCCCATAACCTCATCAAGTGTCACTATTAGACAACATATAGTATTAGCAATGCATAAGTGTCACACGTATATGACACAAAAACATCAACAAATAATAGTGACAATAAATAAAATAAGTATTGAATTTTAACCTTAACAAATATTCACTTTTCGTTTCCCTCCCAAAATATACTTCCCGCCATCTTTTTTTAGTAACCCCACAGTTGAACCCCACCACAACATTACAATTGTTTCCCATACTTACAAAATTTTATTTTCCTAATCCGATCCACTCTCAGCTCATACGCACACATACCCTTCTCCTATGGAGTGACTGGCTGATTGCGACTCAGACATGGACTTCCTAAATGCCCTAGCCCCTGCATTTGAAATGATACACACGAACGATACAATCTTCATCGACGAATGCTTTCCTCGTCCAGTCTTCCTCGCTAAACCATAGCGTTTCATCGTTAAAATCTCCCGAACTGGTTGAAGTCTCCAAGTAAAAATCCATCTTGTTCGTTTCCGCCATTCTTGGGTAATCAAGTGAGGCATTAGCAACAAGTATTACTGGTAATTTCTTTCCTTAAATAAGAGCTATTTTATCTTCTAAGATCTATTTTCATCTGGTTGTATGTTGTTTCAATTATGATTATTTTTAACAAGGGTATTGAGCACAGGTTTGGGCTGGATATCTCAAGATTATCATTTTGACTATTGGTCTCATGAATAAGTGAAACCTTTCGTCTTACTATCTGGACTCTATCCATTTGGTCTTTCCTATTGAATTTATTGGAGGAAGAAATCACTAACAAGTGTTCATACTAATATTATTTTTTGCATGCGCACAAACTGTTTGATACAATTTCTGAGAGAACTTATTTAAACTATTATGATTTGAATGTGTGATTACAGCCTTACATGATGACTAAGTTCAAATCTGAAATGAACTATTTTGATAATATTGTTAAGGTATTAAACTTGCATAGCCTCAGCATTTCAAGGCTACAAAACCCTCATATATTAAACCAACAATAGATATAGTAAATGAATATTGTGATCAAAGTTTTCTTCAATTTCAAAAAACGAATAACTTGTGAATCTGCTAAACTTTATTTTTGTTAATAACTATTTTCAAATGTATTATCAGTTCAGATTTTTTTAAGAGATGACCTATTTTTTTAAGTTCAGATCTTAGGAAAGGATGCACTATTTGATTTTGATGATGACCGATGAATACGGAGTATATAATTGGGTTTATGATCCTTTTGAACTTCCAACCAGTGTACTCTCAGGCCATGTAGTTAATATCTGCATGTTGGATTGCTTTGTGTAATTTTGGGCAATTCCATTGTATATTCCTTTTTTATGAATTTGTACTTCAATTTTTAGGTTTCATGTTATATATGCAGTATACTCTTCTTCTTAACTGCCGTAGGCAGCCTTGAAAGCTATAATATTTGAAGGTTCTTAAGTTGCCAAATTGTTTTTTGTACATTTGCAAATTATCAGGTGTGAGCTCTTTTATTTGTATAGGTTCTGACTTGTAAATATTCCACTATCTTGTAAATGGAATACTTGTTTTCAATGGTCTAGCATAATCGATTCCAGTAACAATATAATTTGACTTTACTAAGCTATGATTGTCACACTCCTTTTTTCCAAAAGTTTAATCTTTGAATATTTTGACTACTTGTTACTAATTGATGCATGCATGATTATTGTAGGTTATCCATAAATACACTGCAAGAATTGCAAGTATAAAAACATGAGTGATTTGCATGTAGAAAGTTCAGGTCATCATATTATGAATCTGATTGTATTCAAAGTGAAACTTAATATTCTAAACAAGAATCTGTTTTTTCCACATGAATATGTTTTCAATGTCCCGTTTGGAAAGTTTCACCTTTTTCGGTTTTCTTTTTTTCTTTTCATTTTTCCGCTATTTCTTTTCAAGAAAATCAAATCTTTTGAGAGTTTGTAAAATTAGGTACGTCCCCCAGCACATGGGAGCTATAGGGTTTACTCACCCATATTCCGTAATCCGTAGGGTTTCTTCAATCGAACACAATTCTGATTAATTTCCTTTCAGACTCCGATTTTCAGCGATTTTGGTTAAAGAAAATATAATTTGGGATTTTTATGAGTGTTCAATGACTGTTAGCAGATGGACCCGTCTTTTTCTATTGAACGCGACTCTCCCGTTAGTTATGAAAATCTTCATGTTTAATGCACTAAGTGTTCTAGGTTTGACCATTAACCTCAAAATGTCCTAGGGCTAAATCAAATTTGGCTGAGGTGAACTATGATGTGGGCAAAACAGCTGCAGGTGATCATAAATGTGATCATAAATGTAACCCTGTTGCACCCGTCAAAACAGGTCAGGTAGACCCTGTTGCCCCTGTTAATTGTACTACTGCTGTAGCCCCTAATGAAAGTGTTGACAATGATGATATACTGGTTAACACCAGTACTGAAAAATTTTCTGTTAAGGACCCAATAACAGCCCCTGTAAGTGTGATCCAGACCCCCCCCCCCCCCTAAAGATGTTGCCCGGGCAGCTTGTCCCCCTCTTACTGATGATATTTCTCTTATGAAGCATGTGATCACCCAGCTGTCCAACTCCCTGGTGCCTATGATGAAAATCTGAGGCTGCAGCCCCTTTTGATCGAGAAGCAAACTATTGTGGCAACTTCAAGGTCTGTAAACAATGAAGGCCCTTATGATAGTTCAAATGATACCCAAGTAGTTCAAATGTTCAATCTACCAATCCTGTAGCCACAATAGCCCCAACAAATTGTAACATGAATTGTGCAACTATTCTTGAGAAGGAAACGGCTGATACCTCTGCTCGCCAACGCCACAGTGCCTTCAAACATGATGAACCCCCGGTGGCTACCTGTAACAAGGTGGTAACCGGGAAAGTAGCTCATGATCTGATTACGTGTGTCCAAACCAGAAATGAAGATCTTCTTTCTGATCCTAGCACTTCAGATACTACACCGACCCCAAAACTGTCTTGTGATGAAATCATTTCTGAGGATAGTCTATTTTTAACTCTTTCTGTTTCAGGTAATAAAGTAATCCCACCTGTCGATGAGGAATTCCTGGAAGGCTTTACGCAGGTCAAAAGAAGAAACAACAATACTGTGAGCTCAAAAAACTCATCAAACGAAGATTCGGAACACACACATGTTTACTTTTAATTTATAGTTGATATCCATGAGCTTCCACTCTCCAACTGTCCAACTTGCCACACTTTCATGTGTGACTAAGACATAGGACTCTATTCGTTATTACACAACAAGAAGATGGTATAGAAGTTACATTAATGATTCAGCATCTGATTTGAGTGAGAAAGAGATCAAAATGGGTAATAACTAAAGATACCAAGGTTTTAGCCTTTATGGGGAGAATTTCTTTGTCTTACTTTACTTTTAAGAACAACTTCAACTGAGCTATTGTGTTTGGGAATAATTCTTCTCTGCTTTAATAATATATTCTAAAAAAGTTCTTTTTTTGCAGTGTTGTTGGCTAATCAACCTGTTGACTTGCTCCTTTTACATGGTAAGTTCATTATCTAATCACAAGGTGATAGCTTAGGCTACACTACCTTTATCTTCTATTATAGGTGATATCAGCCTATCATGCCGTGGCATTGGGAGATTCGTGACATTAAGCTGTCCAACCTAACATAGTTGCTGAAAATCAGCCACTTGGAATGTATGGGTGAATTTATGCCGAGTTTTCTGATTTAACTTATGGAAACACTGTGAAGTGGTTGCCTGAAAATGGTGAGATGTGTTTGAGGTAGTGTCATGGTTTTCACCATATCCACGGGGGCCAAGCAAAGAGAATAATGATATCCTTTAGGCCAGATTAACATTGCTCCCTCACATCTCTTTCCGTCTCAAATGGTAAAACCTGCTTATCTCTAATCAATTTTTTTATTATTATTATTTTATAAATCAATGCTAACCTAATTTATCTCTATCTTTACTATTATTGTTATGTTATTGTTGCATCTGTTCCAATTCAATTTTCTTTTAGTAGTGTATCATCATCTCTTGAACTCATCGTTTTGTACTTTTAGATGGATATTGAAAGTCTACCCTATTGCTACCTTCTGTGAAATGCTCTTTCAAAAACATATCCTCAGGTAAGTTCTTATAAAAAATTTATAGTAGAGTACATAAATTTACCGGGCTTTTCATGTTTCAAGGTGTACATGGTTGATTTTACTCTTCCTAAATTTATGAGGATTCAACTACATGTCCCCACATTCAATACGTGTACATTCCATATCTTTCTTTACATTATATGATACTTCTTAACATATCTTGTCATTGCATTTTTGCCATACTTCTCTAACACCTTTTTATATATTTTTTGGAATTGCATAGAAATTTTGATGTTGCTTTACTACTTCGTAACAAATATTGCTAGATTTCTCATATTATTACCGGTCAGTTTCTGTTGCAGGCCGGGACAGATATAATGGCTCCTACTAAAGATGCAACTTTGAAATAAAAGGCTAGATTGGGATCAAGAGATGCAGTGGATATATTGTTAGCTTTAGTCGATGTGATCTTTTTGTGTTTTAAGCACATGTGCCTTTTATTTTAGGTTGTATTTTCTTCTTGTTTATTACTTATGGCTTTGGGGGTATGCCCCTATGAGTCATGTACACTCACATTTATGTGACAATTTTAGGTATAAATAAAAATGTTTGAAATATGATTGTTTATTAGCATCATTTATATTATATACATTTCTTATATAAAAAATATCACAGTTGAATGCAATCTGGGTATTGATGTCGGTATATCACTAAAAAATATGATTCAATGGTATCACAAAAATTCTTGTTATGTATATATCACTAAAAAACATGATACATTGGTATCACAAAAATCCTTGTTATGTATATATCACAGTTCTCTATGATGTTTATATGTCATAATTTTGTGACACAAAAGTGACTTGTTAACGGTGACACTAATATTAGCGTCAGTAGCCCCACTTTTCTGTGACACTTTCAGAGTGTCACTAAATCGTTTAGTGACACTAACTTAATGTCACTATAAGACATTTTTTTACTAGTGAATGTTGTCAAGATTATTTCTCTTCCTATCTTCAGTTGTCCATTCCAACTTGGGTTTTGGAATGTGGACATCATCTGGTGCTTCTGTTGATTTGGATGTGCTGACCTTCATTATCTTGATGGGTCCAACAATAATTACTTCCAGCATTTCATCATGTAAAGCACTGAGGTGTGCTTTCATTTTGATTTTCCAGTAATCAAACTTGTTCAAGTTGAACAAGAGATTCTTTGCAAGCTAATTGTCCATTTTTAGAAAGTATTTGGGAAGTAGAGTGGATTTGGATCTTTAGTTCAAATTAGTCAGTAACCGACTCTAGGAACACTCCACTCTGATACCACTTGATGGTCCCGGATAGAGGTAAAAGTCTAGGGGGGGAGGGTGAATAGACTTTTAAAGTTTTTTCAACTTTAAAAACTTTTCCCTTCTAGATAGGAAGATCTATAATCTTTTGGGAGATTATAAATGCACAACGGAAGTCTTGACCTCTGGTTTAAAGTAACTTTCTATATAGGTGGAGTTTTGGACCTTTTTTTAAGTGAGCAGTTGTCTGGGCAGTTGGGTGAACTGCAGGGAACTGCTAAGTCAACTACTATAGAGAGTATGACTGTAGGAGAAATCTGATTGTGGGATCTTGATGGGAATGATGAAAGCTTTCTGGATATGTTCTGAGATGGGTTGAAATTCGAACCTTAAGAGAGCAGTAGTCTCAGCAGTTGGGTGGTCACCAGGGAACTGCTGAGTCAGCTGCTTAAGGAAAAATAAAAGTATGGGAAGAGTGATTATATAATATTGCTCAGGGTGATAAGATCTTTCTGGAAATGTACTCAGCTGGGTTTAAGTGGAAGTTTATGGGAGCAGTGGCCTGAGCAGTTGGGTGATTGCCAGGGGAATGCTGAGGCACCTGCTGAGTTATGAAGTTATTTCCAAGAATCTTTTTCAACAGACTTCTTTGCAATGATGTTGTAAGATTACTGCAATGTGGAGATGTCTCAAAGAAAGTATGTAATTAAGCAGGAGGCTGAGCAATGGCGTCAAATGAGGCTACTGCTGAGGATACTGTTGACAAACTACTTTCTTCATTGAGAAGTGTTGTGTGTGTGTTTTGTTGACTGAAATAAAATCAACACACAGTATATCCTGGTTCAGAGGTGGTGTAATCCTCCTACATCCAGTCCCACCCTCTTTCAGATGGATTTCTACTAAAGTATTAAGCCCAATACACTTGGTGTCCAATCTAGTCTTTACGAATGAAACGTCCTAGATTGAAAGGTGTTTTACAAGGAGTACACACAACTCCAAGTTACTCAATCCTTTAGAATTTTCTCAATTGATTCAGTGGGGATCAAAAGGTACTCTATCTATCTATCCACACTTAGGACTTGATAACACAATCCTTCTAAGTGTTTACAACAATGTCTTTGTAATTTGTTTCAAGAAAGTTCTAACCTCTAACTAGGAACTAAACTTCCAGAATATAGCAATGATGATTTGTAACTTGGAAGTTTAGTGAAGAATGAGTCCAAGGAGAGAGTAAAGTTTAGACAAGCACTTTCTCTTTTGCTAGATAGCTCGTATATGCTGAGTGGAAGTATTTCTCTACTTAGGATACTCAAGGCTTGGTTAGAAACTTTCGTTTCGACCTCTATTTATAGGCTTCTCCTGTTGATTAATCTCATCCGTTGGTTAGGATGATTTAATCTTTGACGTTTGTACGAGTTTGTACTTTTGTCTTCATGTGTTGGAGCATTTGTTGAGGCTGTCTTCATTATTTGGTTGCTGAAGGATCACTTGAAGATCCTTTGGTGATTTGTGTGCTTCCCACGTTTTGGTGGTCCATGTACTTGATTCAGCATTAACTGCCGATCAAGTTTTGTCTTCAATTATATACATTCAATGTATATGATTTTTCGCATATATGTGACCTTTATTTGTGACAATAATAATTCTTGTTCAAATAAAATATATGCCGGTAGGATCTAAATATCCTGTTAAGGTAAAAAAAAATTACCTTATTGCACTTTGACTTTTCCGGTATAATTTTATTTGTTACAAAAATTGTACATTGATTTGTCACCTATGATTAGTTTTAAATACTAATACTCGAAATTAATAAGCCACAATGTACAGGAGCAAAGTATAGTGGCATCATCAAAATCATCCAAAATTGGGTACTACTCTCCCCAACATGGACAAGGGCAGAGATCTTCCAGTCTCAGAGAAAGGCAGCTGACTTGGACTACTCTCTCTTAGCCGAGTCTACTACTCGACTAAGGGAGTATGGGACTTGTGATGGAGTTATGGAACTAGACCCAGAGCCTAATCGGCCCAAAACCCGAACTTGGACAGTCAGGAAGAGTAACGGTCAACCAGCCCGTTACGACCTCGAGCCTGCCTATCAGCTCAGTCGGGAGCCTGCCAGCCCGGCCGACCAGACAGTCAGGAAGAGTAACGGTCAAGCAATTAATGTGTTGTTTAATTATGTATTTAATTCTGTATTAAGGTTGTAATTAATTAGCCATTAGTATCTTTGGCAGTTACCATTTGTAATCGCTGTTAGTACCCAATTTTGATAGATTTTGATGATGTCACTATACTTTGCACATGTACATTGTGTCTTAGTCAATTCGAGAATTAGCATTTATTTTAAATCATAAAGTGACAAATAAATGTACATTTTTTGAGACTAATAAAATTACACCGGAAATTTAAAAATGCAATAAGGTAATTTTTTATTTACCTTAAAAGGATATTTAAATCCTACCAGTATAATTTTATTTGCACAAAAAAATTAACTGTCACAAAAAGAAAGTCATATAAGTTCAAAAATCATATACATTGAATGTGTGTGATTGAAGACAAAATTTGACAAGCATTTATTGCTAAAATTGTACATGGGACCGGAGCATGGGACGCACACAATAAATCATATCATGGAATTGATCCTGAAATGATATTCTAGCGGCCAATAAGTGAAGACAAAAGAAATCATCCAGATCTTGCTCCAGCACAAAAAGACAAATGGCAACACATCTTTGCCACGATTCAACGTCAAAGATTAACTCATCCTAACCAACGGATGAGATTAATCAACAGAAGAAGCCTATAAATATAGGCTGAAATGAAAGTTTCTAACCAAGCTTTGAGCATCCTAAGTAGAGAAAAACTCCCACAAAGCACACACGAGCTATCTAGCAAAAGAGAAAGTGCGAACTTAACTTTACTCTCTGCTTGGACTCATGCTTCACTAGACTTCCAAGTTAAACATCTTCATTGCTAAATTCTGGAAGTTTAGTTCCTAGTTGGAGGTTAGAACTTTCTTGTAACAAATCATAAAACATTGTTGTAAACACTTAGAAGGATTGTGTTATCAAGTCCCAAGTGTGGATAAATAGACAGAGTACTTTTTGATCCCCACTGGATCAATTGAGAAAAAACTAAAGGATTGAGTAACTTTGAGTGGTGTTATACTGTAACACCCCGGCCTCTTGGAGTTCTTGGGTGATGAGCTCCCTTAAAAGGAGATGCACCTTGTTGGTATGAGTAGTATTATTAATCCTCTTAAATTAATCTCGGGTATTACAATCACCCCCACTTAGGATCGCAACGTCCTTGTTGCACCCATAAACCAATCTTAATTCTCAATCAAATCCCAGAATCTTCCCCCGCTAAGTGCCCGCTCGATATCCAACGGGTCAGCACACTGTCGCAGGGTTGCTCTGATACCACCTGTAACACACCGACCCCGTAGGCCCCGAGGTAGTTACTTCTGAACTCTAGTACTGTCCTCACAAACCGCAACTAGCCTTTTCCGCGCACTTTGTCCCCACTCATGCACGCCCTGAGAATGTTCCCAGGGGGTCACCCATCCCAAGACTACTCCCGTGCAAGCACACTTAACTTTGGAGTTCTTGGGTGATGAGCTCCCTTAAAAGGAGATGCACCTTGTTGGTATGAGTAGTACTATTAATCCTCTTAAATTAATCTCGGGTATTACATGTACTCATTGTGAAACACTTTCAATCTAGACCTAAGTGTTGTAAAGGCTAGATTGGCACTAAGTGTATTGGGCTTAATACTTTAGTGGAAATCCATCTGAAAGAGGGTGGGACTGGACGTAGGAGGATTACACCACCTCTGAACCAGGATATACTATGTGTTGATCTTCTCTCATTCAACAAAGCACACACCCAACACCTCTCGTAAAAGGATTGTAGTTTGCCAGCAGTATCCTCAACAGTAGTCTTAATTGATCATACTGTTTATCCTACTGCTTAATTACTTACTTTCTTTGAGACAATTTTTTCACTAGAGCCTTGCAACATCATTACTAAAAGTCTGCTCTATCAGATCTCTGAATTATAAATCTTAAGGTTAGCAGTTGCCTCAGCAGTTCCCTGATAACCACCCAACTGCTAAGCCCACTGCTCATACACATTTATTTCTTTTGAACATCTCAATATCACACAACTTTCATAACATCATTACTAAGAAGTTTGTTCAGACTGGTCTCTGAAAGTCAGCCTGTAACTTAGCAGGTGCCTCAGCAGTTCCCTGGTGACTGCCCAACTGCCGAGACCATTGCTCTTGTAAAACTCTCACTTTTAATCATCTCAGCACGTCTTCAGAAAGCTCTCATCATTCTAAGCAACAATATATCTTCACTTTCATCATACACTAAATATTTCCTTACCAGTTGCCTTTGCAGTTCCCTACCATCCAGCCAACTGCCAAGCCAACTGCTCACTGTATAAATCCAAACTTCACCCAAGCAAGAAAGTTGTCACACACTGATTATATAGAGGCTAAAGACTTCCGCTGTGCATCTATAAATCTCCCAAAAGATATAGGTCAACTCACCTAGAAGGGAAAAGATTTTAAAGTTGAAAAAGCTTTAAAAGTCTATTCACCCCTCTCTAGACTTTTACCTCTATCCGGGACCATCAATCGCCTATAAAAGGCAAGTCCGATTCAAATAATAGATATGCTATTTCTGGCTACCAAATCCCCTTTGCAATTTTCCTTATTCGTATTGCTTTCTTGATTTCCTGCTTGAGTGTCTGTCGTAGCTTTCCTAAAAGCCTACGAGCGTCCTATTTTGGACCAACAAAACTAGTTCACTTCTTAGATAAGGACTATTTGTAATCTAGATTTCTTACACATTGATTCAGCTACATTTTTAGGAAAATTCAAGAATAACTTTATTATTCACAGGACTCATTGTTTATCGACTTTATTCTTGTCTAACCTATTTTTTTAGTTAAATTAGGACTTAGATCAAAGTTGAATATGGTAACTAATGACATGGCGACACGTTTTCTTTTGAGCTATCTTTTGTAGTGTCTACTTGGATCAACTTGTTAAAACTGTTTTTACTCCTTCAAAGATAAGAAATAGCTATTGAAGTATTTGAGTGAAAGAGTAAAAGTAGGGATGGACTCGGGCCGGGTCAACCGGCCCGACCCGACGCGGTACTCGACCAGGTAGACCGGACCGACTTGGGCCCGGTAGCTACCCGAGCCAGTTTCGGGTCGCAACAAAACAAAAAAAGCCCGCCCGGACCCGCCCCGCGGCCTGCCCCAGACTGGCCGGGGTCTGTAGTGCATTGAGTTTAATTTTTAATATAAAGGAGTTTCATACCAACAATTGGGGGATGATGGTCATTTATCTTTTCTATCTTGTGTGATGATACTTTTCTCTCGCACAATAAACAATTAACTCATCATAAAAAAGTTATGAGAAAATCAGTTGGGCGAAATTGAAGTACAACTCTATCACACTAACAACCATTTCATTCTATGATATTCATGAATATATTATTGGGCATTTCCTCCTCGACAAGCCTAGGCGAGCAAGTAATACTTGGACTTATTTAACATGTTGCCTATAAGGTATAAGTAACGTAAATGTTCAATATTTCATATAAGTTGCAGTTGAGTTGGTTAGATTGTTCTCCTTATGCCAAGCCTCCCATGTTCAAATCCCTCCTCATGCTTCATTTTTAGCAAATACGAAATGCGGAGTACCACAGTAGTATATACTTCGTATTTCATTTTCAACTATCCCATTCAACAATCCCACACCGGAGGAGAGGCGTTCCACTCTCCCAAACTCTATATATTTCTCATCTCCCTTCCTCAATTGAATAAAACGCCTCCAACTTTGCCTTGATCTTCACTTAGGCTTGACGCTAGTCAATGGGTTCGGGTTCGAATGTAGTGTTTCAGACTTGAATTCGCTAAGTTAATAATGGACCTGATTCGTTTACTGATCGGGTCTGAAAATTTGGACCCGGATTCAGATGCAATGCGTCTCAGAATTGGGTCGGGTAGACTCGCTCGTCAAGTGTACAAATTTAAAAGCTAAATATATCGCTTCTTGTACTGCCATATAGTTCCACACTTTGCGTCGCTTTCTATCGCATAAAAAGCACGTAGAATAAATTAGAAATCAAGTCATAAAAAGTTCTCTTGGACTACTATGAGTATAAAATCATATGTAGTATTATATATGATAATGATATAATAATATTAATAGTAATAGAATAAATATTGTGTTTTTCCTACTGAGTCCAATACACATTAGTTTTAGAGTATCTTACAATCTTGACCAATATCACTTACTCCCTCTGTTCCTTTTTAGTTGCAACATTCATTTTTTCACGTTTGACAACACACAACTTTGATCGTCATTATATTTAATTCTCTATTAGTAATTATTTTTCTAAAATAATATTATGTAACTTTGTAATGAGACAAATTCAACAATATTTTTCAAAAAAATTAATTCACATACGTTAATAAATAAAATGTACTCAAAGTAGAGTACATGAATAATGTATAAATTCCAATGTTGCAACTAATACGATACGGAGGATAATATATAATAGTTATGTATTAATGTGCATACTTTTATTGAAGAATCACAACTAATAACTTTATGTATTATTATGTATATATGTATATTACTTTCTATTTGATTTAAAGTGTTGTAACTAATCACTTTGTGTATTAGTGTCTGTGTATACAAATAAAAAATTTTAAACGGGTCCGAATTCTTAACGGGTCGGATTCATATGTACCATACCCGACCCATTTATTTAAAATACTAATGAATCAGGATCCGATGTCTGGATAAACAGAATAAAATATAAACCCGTACCCATAAAAAAACCGGGTTCGGATCGGGTCCGGGTTGGATCCGGGTCGGGTCCGGATCTAGACCCAACCAACCCATTGACAGGCCTGGACGAGCCTTTTTCCGCGCCTTACGGGTAGGTGAGGCGTTTGAGTGGGGCCTCACGCCTAGACCGGCCTTTGCTTTGCCTTTAGACGCTTTTTGAAATGTAAAAGAAACATGGATCAAAGCAAGCTGCTATCTCACATTAACTAGGGTTACTGGACCACAACTTCACAATGACGAGAAGAAGTCTTGCAGCGAATTCTGCATATGAAGACTCCCGCGAAGCAAGCATGGTGGTACATCGGGTCAGTAATCATTCAAAGATTTTCCCATTTTCCTTTTCACCTCTAAAAAAGAAAATGAAGCTCTATATACCGAAAGCAGGGTGCAAAGCATACAGCTGGACTCCGGAAAACAAATATGACGAAGATTGTCGGTTCTTCTACCCCTTTGCGCCGCTCAAATCGTTTGAAAGGAAGTGACCCTTTACATGGAAGTTGGTTTGCACCTGAAACCTCTTAGCTTTATGTCCTCCCGAATTTTCGATTATATGTTTTGCTTAATGTTTGTACCGCATAGGGAAGGGAAGCAGCGTTGCGGAGACGATTGTGTTGTTCTTGACATCCATCAGCCGTGCATCAGTGAGTAGTGGCTTGGTTTCTATTGTTCCTTTTTTTAAAAATGCACATTTTATTCATAATGATGAAGTTTTCAATACCTAGGGTGTGGTTTCTAGTAGTCTTCAGTCACATTCCAGAGGTGGGTGCTGCCAGGAATGTGACTTTGCTTGCTTGTTCTCTAAAAAAGGAAATGCAATTCTTGATATATTTAGAACGAATGTACACAAGTAGCATCTGGCTTCAAGTAATTTCAACCACTGGAGGTCCTGCCAGTAATCTGGCTCCAATAAAAGCGTGACAAGTGTTCAACGTTGACTATGTGAGTCACCTTTATTGGGACTATTGTGGTGCCACGTCGCCTCAAGTGACTCAAAACCAAAACAAAAAACTAAGAGCCTAGCAATTAGCATGTAAGGGTTGAATTCATTTTTTAAAACTGCTTCTGCTCTAAGGAGCAGAAGATGAGAGTGTTTGGGTGAAAGTGTAGAAGTACTTATAGGTGCTCCAAAATGCTTGCAGAAGCAGTTTTTTAGAAGTTGGGGGAGAATGGGAGATCAGCTTTTGGAAAATTTATTCTGATTCTACTTCTGCTTTTAAAAAAGAAGCAAAAGCAAAATCAATTTCAAACACCCCCTAAATACAAGGGGAAGTTATGTGCATAGGACTGAAACAGCACTTTTATACACAAAAAACTATGAAAACACATAGGACTCAAAATCCATTCTGGACAAGTTTCTTGAACACTGAAAACTATGGCTAGAAAAATCACGGGCGAATCATCTCCAGAAACCACTGTAAGAAACCACTGTCATTGGCCACCCGTCACCACCACCAAATCAGCACTTATTATCAACTATCTAAATTATTAACTGAGTTGTAGTCCATAAATATTTGTGAATTACTATTTAAGGGTGTCTTGGGTTGGGATTATTCGTTCTAAATTATGGACTAAATTAATTATAGTTTATGATGAAAACATAGATGGTGTTATATCTAGAGGTATTAATCCCTTCACCACTTCCATCCATAACTCTCTTCTCACTCTGACTTGGAACACTTGGTAAAAAGTGAAATCGTATGGTTGTTGTTGATATAAAAAAAGAAAACAAATATCCGCCACATAAATCTTTCTTGAAAACAAAATTGGGAGAAAAACTTGAGAAACCCTAAGAAGGAAAGTATGTAGAAGGCTATGGGGCGGAGGGAGTATGTGGAGCAATTTTATCTAAATACAAAAAACCACTTTTTTTTGGAGAGCTTATATATTTCGGGCACTATTAGAGGTTCTTCCAGATGAAAATCAATTTTATTTCTTCGTAAACAGTTTATTTGGTCCAAAAAGATGTTTTACAATACTCTCTGTCCCTAGATTTTTTGACAACATTATAGTATTCTTTCCCAGTTTCCCCTATATAACAGTAAACATTTTTACTACCAAACAAAATAGCTTTTCTGTAATACATAAAACCCTTTGGTTATAACCACCAATCCAATCCTTTGCCCAATAATGGCCAGCACAATTGGCTATCCAACCAAAGATGCTATATGCCAAACAAGGCAATAATATAATGATCTTTGTGATTTTCTAATAGAAATGAAGGAAGTGAAAGAAAAGTATGACTATGAAGCAATCCGCAAGGCTCGCATTTCGGAAAACCAGGTCCTTGCTTCTACTCTTTCTTTTTTTGCAATTTTACAAGTTCAAGACTTGGGAATTCTTTGGCAGACAGTTTTCTGGCTTGGCTTATTCAACTATGAGTAGAATGAGTAGTTTTCATATACTTTTATTGGGCTGAAATGGACCTGTCAGAAGGTTAAGCAAACTCATTCGCCAATTAACCTTATCCATGCCGGTCTTTAATTTGTTTTTCATGTTTTATTGTGTGTTTTTTCTTGCAAAGCAGGCTCGCATGGAAAGTTTGGGAATCCGAAAAACCATGTTAGAACTTCGGTCCACTATTCCTTCAAAGCCAAAATTGGATAAGAGAAAGTTGATCAAGAGTGAATGCTCATCCAGCCTTTTGCGCCGTTCCAATCGCTTGAAAAACAAACCAGCAGTTTCAGTTAAGCTAGAAGATGATGAGGGGTATACTGCTCGCCAGCCGTCGTCCTATGCGGTGGCTCGGGTTTGCTCAAGAAAGGTTAGGGGCAGTGTGCACAATCCCATCTACGGAATCTCTTGCCACTTCTGCAGGTTCCTGTCATGAGATCTCTTCCTTCATTACTTATCCAGTCCTCCCCTTGCTGTACTCTTAGTTGGTGCCATTATAGTTCTCTTTGTTTCAAGGGATTTTTTGTCGTGGGAAATGTTTTTTCGGGACAATGGTTTCTGTAGGTATTATTTTCATGGAAAATAAGTTGTTCTTTCAATACACCATCAACTTAACTAACTTTTATTTTGTCATTTCGTAGTTTGAAACTTTTGGCGTGATTGAATTTGGTTTCTGGTGTTAAATATAATTGGCAGTGTTGTCTCTAATATGTATACTTTAGTTATAAATAACACATATAACTATATAAGTATTGACACAGAAGAGTTAACATTATCATTAGTCAAACATCATAAACTCATCATCATCACCCCAGTGCCACAAAGGTGGGGTAAGGGGGTCGGATGTATGCAGCCTTACCCCTGTACTAAAGAATAGAGAGACTGTCAAACATCATAAACTAAAATGAAATTTTCATTTTGGGACGTAAATAGCTTAATATTTGCATGACCAACCAAAGTATAAAAACTGTTTCAGGTTAAGCTGAGGATTCCTTTTCTACAAAAGCTCATAGAATCACGGAAAATAGTTTCCAGTTGCCTCACAGAAATGAAAATGAAACGTGATTAATGTTGTCATTTTTTTAAACACTGGTTCAAACTCATTATATTTATTGTTGATTTTTGTTAAGATTTCTTAGTCCTTTTGTAAAAGAAAGAAAAAGTTAAGTAAAACGAGTTTGAATACAAATATCATCAATAAGTTTAATGAGTTTGAACCAATACATGTGTTCCCTCAAATTTTCATTCATTCAAAACGTCCCGTGTATATACCTCCTGTTCATTCTCTCTTAGTACTAAATGAACCCTAAAATTGTTGGTGTTGGTTAGTTTTTTAAGGATAAAGCAATTGCTATAGCTCTATAACAAGCTTTATACTGTGATTCACAGACAAAAGAAATTGTGTGGTGAAGAAGAATGCAAGCGTTGTAATGATTTCGACATGAACCAACCTTGTATAGGTTAGTGCTTTGGTAACGTTTGGTAAGCCATAGTGGAAAATAGTGTAATGTAAATTTACATGAATAACATTCGTAACTTTTGATTACATTTCATTCCATTAAGCTTATCAAATGTCGCCCGAGTCTTTAATGTAGAAACTTTTCTTTATAGATCAATTATTTCTTAGTGAATTTATTTACTCCTAAAGTTCGTTTTGTTTCTCAACATACAGGTAAGACAGATTGTTCGCTTTGTCATTCTGGTAATGGTGTCTTTTGCCGAGCCTGCCTTGAGATTAGATATGGTGAAGGTGAGCTAAAAATCCCAAAGCACTTGAAATAAATATCACAGTTTGTCAACTTGTCGGACCGGGTTATTTTGTTGTTTTGATAGTAGTATAGTACTACAAACAAACTGTTAACCAAAAAAGTTGGGAACTCATATGCTATTTGTGTTTCATTACGTGTGATAGATATGGAGGAAGTGAGAGCAAATAAAGAATGGATATGCCCTCATTGTGTTGAAGACAAAGGGATTAATCCATATTGGATTTGCAATAGGTATCAAGTTTTATTTAGACTCCAACACTTTTATTTATCAACACAGAAAATTTAATGCGTGTGGCATATCTCCGTATTGGATAGTTCATTTTGTTTGAAGAAGCGGGGAATGGCTCCTACCGGGATAGCAATATACAAAGGTTATTTTGAATTCATATTATTTTTAATACACGTATTATGCCATTATTGTTCTTTTTCTTTTTATCACTTTAATGTTGGATTTGTCTTTTTTAAAGCTCGAGAGATGGGACTCAAATCAGTGGCACATCTACTGATGCATGAGCTTATGAGCAAAGATGATAGATCCATCTGATCACAATTGCCGAGGTGCTTCACCTCCTTTACAATGTGGAACTACTGTAAGAGTGTGGAGCTGGAGGCTAATGTATCCCACATTCCCATCGATACATTTTTTTTGCATATCATGGTCATTGAACCTTTTGCATTTATAACATTATGCAGAAAGTTGAGGGGGTGATTCAATCTTTTGCCTTCTTATTGATCTTCCATATATCTTCCATGTATGTGAAACTGATAACAGCTTGGAATGTTTACTATCTGTTGCCTATGGAATTTAATGGGAATATGCAATGTTAAAAACAATGCTAGCCACCGCGCAAACCCACACCCATATTAGGGATGGATCTGAATATCTGATTCGTTTCTGATTTTGGTCCAATTTTAGAACCTTAATTGAAACGGTAAACTTGTGCAGGTTCAGTGTGCAGTTCTTGTTCGGTTTTAGGTAGGGGTGGACTCAGGTCCGGGTCTGGCCTAGGCCCGGGCGGGCCGGCGGTTCAGGAGTGGTGGACTCAGGTCCGGGTCCGGCCTAGGCCCGGGCGGGCCGGCGGTTCAGGAGTGGTGGACTCAGGTCCGGGTCCGGCCTAGGCCCGGACGGGCCGGCGGTTCAGGAGTGGTGGACTCAGGTCCGGGTCCGGCCTAGGCCCGGGCGGGCCGGCGGTTCAGGAGTGGTGGACCCGGGACCGGTCCGGGCCGGGCTGGGCCTATTATCAATTTTTTCCCTCTTCCTAATTAACCCCCCTCCCACCCCCAACCCCCAAACCACCCCAAATGGCCCAAAATACCCAGCCAACCTGAAAATTTTAAAAAATTGAAAAAAAAAAAATAGTTTTGGCCCGAACCGGGGCCGGGTCGGTCCGGGCCGGGTCGGGCCTTGTTTTGGGTGACCTGAGCCTGGACGGGAAAACCCACGGTTCGGGCCTACCCGGACCGGTCACTGATCGGGCCATCGGGTCGGGCTGGGCTGGAACAGTGCCGGTCTCGGGCCAGTTCCGGGTCGAGCCACTTGGCCCGAGTCCATCCATAGGTTTAGGTTTCTCCATGCCAGAAACTTAAGCTATAAAAAAATGAGCCGGGACCTTAAGCTAGGGATGAACAAGACTCGGGCCGTCTGACCCGTGAATCGGCCCGGCCTGGCCTGGTCTTGGGTAACCAGTTCCGAGCCTAGGTCTGACTTGGGGATTGGGCTGGGCCAGGTACGGGCCTTAGTTCCTTAAATATAGTGAACCGGCCGGTCTGGGCATGGTTCGGGCCTATTTTTTATTTTTTTCTTCATTTTTTTTGTTCTTCTCGGGTTGGGTTGGGTGTTTGGTGGGGGGGGGGGGGGGGGTAGGGGGGTTGGGGTGAGGGGGGGGGGGTCAGAGTTAATTAGAAAAGAAAAAAGAAAAACAAACATTGAACCGGCCCGACCTGGAATTGTTACCTACTTGGGCTGGATGATCTGGGCCTCACTTCCCATAAAAAAAGCCCGGTCAGGCCTGGTCGGAATCGGTCCATCCCTACATTAAGCCACTGGATCTTCTCTGATTCTAAGGCCAACGTGAACAAGGGTAGGGGTGTGTAGGTGAAACCAAATTGATAGAGTACCAATTGCAAGTAAAAGAAATTGAACTGTAAGAAATTAGAATTTGAACTCAAAACATGAATTCAATTGTAATTGTTTGGTTTAAGTTTTGGTTTCACCTCAAAAAACGAAATTGATCCGAACAAATTGAACTTTTAAAATAGAAATAATGGCACTTGATGGTACCATGGATTTTGACCATGGCCCAATTACATAATCCAACCCATAACGGGACCAACCCTCCATGAGGTTAGCCTAATTGATGGGACAAAGCCCACAACGGAATCAAGCCCTTACGAGTTTAGCCCTGAAATGGGATTACTGTTAGATAACCACTGGGCCTAACTAGGAATTAAGCCCACGAGAGGAACCCACAACCACGCCAGGCTGGGAAGCAGGCCTTGAGCCTGGTCGGAGTTCTAGTAAGGCTGGAATATTCTCAGGGCTGATGTGGCATGCTATCATTAGATTGGCAACTGGCAGGAGTTAACGGCAGGAACATGGGAGTAAAGGAACAATCATTGTACAATGGCCAAGACGTTACGAGAGTCTTATTCGAACTAATGTGTAATTAATAGCATTTATTGTATTAGTTTCCTTTTGAAACACTAGTTCCTTAGCCTATAAATATGACTTGTAAACCTCCTAAAGTTGATCCAGACGAACAGCGACGCGACCACCGCAATTCCAGACGCCAGGCATTGGGAATCATATCCCCAACGTTGATCCGGCTCAGGCCTTAGCGAGTTTGGCAACGATCCAAAGGGTAATGGAGACTCTGACCACCTCTTTCCAGGGTATCGTCCCTAATGCGAATACGAGGTCCCCTTCCCCTCGCCGGGCTCCATCTATGCCCCGGCAGGAGGAGGAGAGGTGTGAGCAATCTAGGAGGGGCTCTCCGCCGTCCCGATCTCAACACTCCCATCACTCCAGGCCAACCCCGAGGACCTCGATGATGGACAGAATCGGTGAGTAGAGAGTCTCCGTGCATGACAGGATCTCATCCCGACTCGAGCCGAGTGGGGAGGCATCGTTCGCGGCCGTTTCGTCCCACCGCCGCAGCGTGCGTGGGCGAGATCTCAAAAACGAGATCAACGCCAACCGGCAGGGCCGCGGGAATCGCCGATCCCCACCTTGGCCGTGAGCGGGCCATGGCAACGATGATCTCAGGAGGAGGCTAGACGAGCTTCGGAGGGAAGTGGACGCCAGAGTCAACCCTAACCATGAGGTAAGGATTCCCGAACCATAAACTCGTCAGATCATGGATGCTCCGCTACCCGAGGGATACAAGTCATGCAATATAGAGGCCTACCGGGGGAAGACAAACCCACAACACCATGTTTCCAGATATGTGGCGTACATGGTGATGATGGGATATGAAGACGCCATCAAGTGTAGGGGGTTTTCGGTTACACTCGATAGGCCAGCCCGGGAGTGGTATGATTCCCTGCCTAATGGACGGATCCGGAACTTTAGGGAGTTGGCCCATGCTTTTGTGACCCGGTTCGCCAGCTCCAAGGATTCCAAGAAGAATTTCTCTCACCTCTTAGGGATCAAACAGGGACCCCAACAGAGCTTAGCTGATTTCTTAGTCGAGTGGAGGGATGAATTAGTAAAGATAGATGACCTGGATGACAAGTCCGCTGTCGCTATACTCACCAACGCCCTGAGGTCGGGTGAGTTATATAAAGATTTTGTGCGAAACCCTCCAACCTCACATGAGGAAGCCCTACAACGTGCCAACGCTCAGGCCGGAGTAGAGGAGGCTGAGAGGAAAAAGAAGGAAGAAGACACCGGGAAGCGCAAATCTGAGGGCAAAAAGAAGAAATCCATGGAGAAAGAAGGCCATGACTCGGACAAGGGGAGTGGATCCAGAAAGAAGAAGAAGGGCTGGGGAAAAGGCAAATCAGATGTTCCTGAAGGGCCGCTAGCCAGCCAACCAGATTTTTCTTCGTCCGCGCATCAGGTGAGTACTGTCCTGGATTATGCTGCGAAGCAGGGGTTGATGACAGCCCCTGAGGGGTGCAATATCATCCACAATCAGAACCCCAAAAACAAATATTGCAAAATCCACAAGAGCGACTCTCATCAGACTGACGATTGTTACATTCTGAAGAAGTACGTGGAAAGGCTCGTACGAGAGGGTCAACTGAAGCAGTTTGTGAAGAAAGCCCAACATGGACAACATCCTCCGAAGAAACACACTTGGAACAGGGAGAAGGACGCGCCGGCCTCATCTTCGAAGAAAAGGGAGGTCGGGGCCCAATTTGAAGATGACGATGAAGGGGAAGATTCAGGTAGGCAATAATGACCACACGTCAACCAGATCTACGGCGGACCTGTGGGAGGGGGGATACAACGGGGGAAAGGAAGAAGTGGAATTGCCAACTGTTCGTCGGCGAAATCAGCCATCTTCCTACCGACAAGAAACAGAAGCGTGAGTCTATAACCTTCACGGATGATGATCTCCCCCCATGTCCCCCACCACATAGGGATGCATTGGTGCTCAAGATGGAGGTCATGGATGCAATTGTTCACATGGTACTGTTGGACAATGGCAGTTCGGTCAACATACTTTACATGGATGCTTTCCTAGAAGTCGGACTCCAGAAGAGGGCTCTCAAACAGGTAAGAACCCCCCTCTCAGGTTTCACGGGAGACACCATTGAGCCCAAGGGTATGATGACCCTCAAGATCCAGCTTGGATCGAAGCCCTGCGTGCGGGAAATTGAAGCGGATTTCATCGTTGTCCAATTACCGAGCGTGCACAAGGCTATCCTGGGCAGACCTCTATTGGAAGACCTGGGGGCCATTATTTCCCAGGCTAATATGTGCATGAAGTTCTACACTCCAACTGGGATTGGCACAGTAAGAGGAGACCAGAAGATGACCACAAGTTGCTATGTGAGAGCCTGCAAGGCTCATGGAAGGAGCGATATGAGGATCAATGCCATCGAGTAGGACCTATCTAAATATGAGGACGGGCAACTCATAGCTCAGCCGGTCTCAGAGCTTGAGGAGGTCGGGGTCGACCATTCTCGGCCAGAGCGACGAGTTAAGATTGGGGCAGGGCTCCCGGCCGACCTGAGAGCAAAGATAGTCCAAGTTCTGGCAGAGTTCAAAACGGTTTTCACTTGGGGGCCAGAGGACATGCCGGGGCTCGACCCAAGCATAGCTGTTCATTGTAGATCCAAAGATAACACCCGTAAAGCAAAAAAGAAGATACCTATCTCTGGACATGAAGGAGTTCGTGAAAGGCGAAGTGAGCATGCTGTTAGGCATTGGGCACATAAAGGAAGTACAATATCCGGAATGGCTCGCCAATGTGGTTCTGGCTCCGAAGCCACTCACCTGGAGGATGTGTGTGGACTATACGGACTTGAATAAAGCCTGCCCAATGGACCCATTTCCTCTGCCCCAACATAGATCAGCTCGTGGATCAAACCGCCAATTGCGAGCTTCTCTCCTTTATGGATGCATTCAGAGGATATCATCAGATCTCTATGCACCCCGATGACGCAGAGAAGACCTCATTCATCACGCCCGAAGGAGTTTTCTGTTATCTGGTGATGGCCTTTGGATTGAGGAATTCTGGGGCCACCTACACGCGAATGGTGGCCAAGGTATTTCGAGCAGTCCTTGGGAGGAACATGGAAGCCTATGTCGATGATATGATCGTAAAAAGCAAAAAGGCGAGTGATCATGCTGATGACTTGAGAGAAGTGTTCAATATTATGAAAAAGGTAAATCTTCGACTTAATC